TCTCTGCGGCCCACCTAGTCAACTTAGGTGTCATCTTGGCCTGAGTCTTTAACCATCTAAGCGTTTCGTGGTCCGAATACACTTTGAAGTGCCTCCCAAGCAGATAGTGCTTCCAATGGTCTAAAGCCTGCCTGAGGGCGTAGAGTTCTCTTTCGTACGTGGAGGTAGCGACTTTCTCACAAGGCATCCTCGCGGACATGAACTCTACGGGTCTATAGCCATTGTCGTCATCTTGTTGCAACACGGCACCTATCCCATACTGACTCGCGTCCGTGGTGACGACAAATGGCAAGGACGGATCTGCAACCTTGAGGACAGGATACTCTATTAACGCGCGCTTTAACTTYTTGARYSCAGMCGTACAGTCTTTATCYCATTGCCAKATTGTCTYTTTCTTCAACAACCTGCGCAAGGGAGCGGCGATAGTGGAGAAGTTCCTCACGAACTTCCTGTAGTAGTTAGCTAAGCCTAGGAACGACCGCAACTCTGTCAACGTGTGGGGCGTCGGCCAATCTCTAATCACCGCTATCTTGTTGTCCTCTGGCTTAATGCCATCTCCGTCCAACACGTGGCCCGAGTACAAGACTTGCGTCTGGGCCCACTCGCACTTCTTCGCGTTGATCTTGAAGTTGGCCTCTCTACGCTTCTCCAAGACCTGCCTCAGATGACCCTGGTGCTCCTGGAGGGTCTTACTAAAGACTAGGATATCATCTAAGTAGACTACTACAAATTTATCTAACCACGGTCTAAACAGGTCATTCATACAACGCTGAAAAGTAGTTGGCGCGTTGGTTAGTCCAAACACTATGAACTCATAGTGTCCGTATCTAGTCCGGAACGCAGTCTTGTACTGATCGTCAGGATGGACTTCTATCTGATGGTATCCGGACTTCAAGTCTATTTTGGAGAAATACTTACAACCCTGCACCCGATCTAAAAGATCGTCTATCCTGGGCAGAGGCTCAACATTCTTCACTGTGATCGCATTCAAACCCCTATAGTCCATACACATTTTCAGCTCTCCCTCCTTCTTGGGGACAAACAAAACGGGTGCTCCAAAAGGAGACGAACTGGGCCTAATCCAACCCTTTTCGAGAAGCTCGTCCAATTGCTTCCGTAGCTCTTCCAACTCCCGCGGGGACATCCTATATACAGCACCCTTAGGAGTTCTACTGCCAGGCTCTATCTCTATCCTGTGCTGGATGGGTCGCGACACTACTCCTGTCGGCGACTCAGTCAAGTCTTTGAATTCTTTCAGCAGCTTGGCAATTGTTGGATCTGTGGAACTATCCTTTTCCTGGGCCTCAGTGACAGGTCTGACATATACTACAAAGACCTGGTCTTCTAACTGCTCCTTCTTTACTAATCGCGCGAACGCGGGAGAACTGAGACAGCAATGTGCCAAGGTGTTATCTACATCAGACATATGGAATAAGCGGGCAGTCTTAACCTCGCCTGGCGGACTAGGGAGCCTACACTCCTGCTCTCTCAAATGAAGTGTGGCCCCTGCTGCCTCTCCCCAATCCATTCCTAACACTATGTCGAAAGGACGATCATCCTGCACGAGGAGAGTCAAAGAATGGAGGATCTTCTCCACTTTTCCATTCTTCTCTAGGCGAAAGTACGCCTGGACTCCCTCTACGTAGTCCTCAACTCACATCGTGCGGTTGTCTGCGAGGATACTGACTATGGGGTCTACTAACTTCTGGACCTTTAGTCTAGCTTCAGCTTCTTCAGCGCCCTACGACTAATGTAACTACGGGTAGCCCCTGAGTCTACACGGGCCCCTACTCTACTTCTAAACACCTCTACATCTACCAAAATCAGTTGTCCCTTACTCTCCCTTTTCATTTTGGCCCAGGCTGGCATCCTCTCCTTTAATTCTTCTGCCACACCTGTGAGGGACGTGCCTAAAGAGACGCTAACAGAAGCAGTCTCTGGACAGCTATCTAGGCATGGGCCTGCAACCTCTGCCATAGGCTCATGTGGGTTGGGAGTGTCCTGTTCGTGCGCGCTCACTTCTCCACATGGCCTBGAAGTAGGGGCAGTTGCGACCCCTACTGGCGGCTGCCTTTTGACTGCTGAGCAGCCCAACAGGCCTGTCTATACTTTGGACAAAATTTGATAATGTCGGCCGGGTCACCACAGAATACGCACTGACCCCGGTGCACGCGTTCCTACCATACGCGCTGGTCCAAGCCCAAATCTTCCCAGGGCTTGCCCTGTGGCAAGCCTGGGTGCCAACCCCCTTGAGGTGCCCTTCCACCTCTTCGTTGTGGGGACCGATTACCTTGGCGATTTGACGGGGGACCTTGACCCCTACCTCCCGCTTAGCGGTTTCCCTGCCCGCCAACCCCCTGTGCGCCCGGTCCTCGGCCACCCATGGCCTGGCCCCTTTGGCCCTGGCCACCTCCTCCTCCCTACGGCCTCCCTCCAGCCGCGACAGCAGCATAAGACCTCCCCTGCCCCACACTACTGCTATCATCTTCAAGGCCCCACTCAATCTGGTTATATGGGACCTCATCGGTACCACCTTCTTCTAATTTCAGGATCATGTGATCCTTGGCCTTTACTTGGCCTAAGATGGTACGATTCTTCGACTTCTTCCCCTTCTCTAAGTCCTTATGCCAGAAAGTGGTCACTGGCAAAGACTTCGACTCATACAGGACGACTTCCCTACTCAATGCATCGTAAGTCATGCCGGGCTGCTGAGATTTGTCAAAGAAATGCCCGCGTAGGGCCTCTGGAATGGCACGATAAAACAACTGGACTAGCTGGGGCTCAGTGACCCCGTGGTCCGGGACGGCTACCAAGTCGTCCATAGTACCCTTCAGTGCCTTAGCACTCCTCCACTGCCGAGAGTGAATCGTTTGGAGCTTATCAGAGGCTCTAATGCCTCATGTTGGGTCAGCGAACCGCTCCTTGAGGAGCTTGAGGAATTGGGAAAGAGGAGTGACTTTGGAATACGCAACCAGGTTGTTTTC